GAGGTTTCTTGTTTTCAATTGATGTGGTTGAGGTTAGTTAACTTTTAGAAGGTTTTTTTCTTGCTTTTTTTCTCTATTGCGGCTAGGCTATTAGTCAACCTTTTGTTGACTAATAACAGAATTTATTGGGTGAGTTTTTTGATCAATAAGTCAACCTTTTATTAATTAATATTAAGGAAGATACAACACATTAAATACAGTCGGATTGTGAGAGATAAAACCTCTTATCTCTCCCCCTACAATCAGATCCCTTACAGTTGTGCCCAGAAAAGTGAACCTCTCTCCCCCCTTATTTATCTAAGGCATCTGCTACAGAATTAGCAGATCTCTTAACCTACCCAACCACTATTTCCATATCTCTGGTCAGCCACTTGATCTTCTTCCTTTCATTGTTGAAAAACCACAGTTTTGACTCCACATCTTGTAACCAGCTAATCACCAGTTTGGAGTCTCCTTCCACAAATAGCTTTTGAATGTTCATTTGCTTTGCCTTTTGAATGCCTTCCACTACTGCTAACACTTCTTCTCTCAGGGAGTCTCCTTTTCCAACTGGCCCCAAGAACATAGCGATGAAAGTGCCCTCCTCATCTCTAAAAATACCCCCAATTCCTGATGGTCCAGGATTCCCCAAGCTGCTACCATCAAAGTTAAGCTTGATAAAACCTCTGTTTGGAGGTGACCAAGTGTGATTGATAATTGTCTTATGGGGCTGTAGAATCTGCTACTTCCTTCCAACTTCTCATTAGATCATTTGTTGACACATGAAGAAGGCTGTCAAGGATTTCAGCTAATGCATCACTTTAACTTTGATTGTTTCAAAGATATCACTTTTGTTCATTTCTTTATCTGTGAAGATTCTTGCATTTCTTTCTTCCCAAACAGTTCAAAGAACAGCAGCTCTAATGCAGTTCCACATTAACCTCCCTCTCTTTGTTGGCCATCCAAAGGTAGTTGTGTCAAATAGGCTTTGAATATCCGCTGGAGGATTCCACCTGCATCCAAAAAGTGAAAAGCACCAATCCCAAATAGAAGTAATGAAGGAACAAGAGATAAAAAGGTGGAGGCAACTCTCACCATCAGCCTTACACAATACACACCAACGAGGGGATACACACCAATTTGGCCGCTTTCTTTGGAGTAGGTCAAGAGGATTGATCTTTCCATGAGCCACTTCCCAACAAAAGGCAGCAACCCTAGGTGGAACAGCTTTGCACCACACCTCTTTTACTGGAATAGGAGGCAGACCACTATAGGATGGTTGTAGTAGAGTTTTAAAGAAGGAGGCACATGAGAAGGACCCCGATGGGGTACAAGTCCAAATTCGACTACCAGGTCTTGAAGGTTCAATGAAAACTCCTTCCAATAACTTTAAGAGGCTAAGAAGACATTGAAATTGTGTCTCGAATACCCCTCCGGGAACCCAAGCCCCAATTAACCTCATCGAGTGAAGGTGGAGATGGGACAAGGAACAAAGAAATTGGCTCATTTTTAAAGTTTGAGAGGGCAAAGAGAGAGGGAAATTGGTCTTTTAAAGGAGAGTCTACTAGCTAGATATGTTCCCAAAATTTAACATTGTTACCATTACAAAGGTTGTATCTGATGGAAGGAAGGAAGAGAGGCAAGATTGCACTAATGGCTTTCCAAGGTGAGGATCGGTTTGCTCTAGGTAACACACCAACATCCCATCCATTATCCAAGAGCCCATGAATACTTACTATCACCTTTGTCCACAATTTGTCCCTATCTTGAGGCAGTCTCCAGAGCCACTTTCCTAACAATGCTATATTCCTTTTTTGTACATTCCCTAATCCCAAGCCTCCTACATTCTTATCCCTGCACACTATTTCCCATTTATTCTATGGTCTCTCTTTTCCTCCTCTGGCTCCCACAAGAAATCCCTCATTGTCACCTCCAATTTCTTGCTCACAATCACTAGAGTTTTGAAGATTGACAAATGGTAGACATGTAAGTTAGCTAGTGTTTATTTAATCAAAGTTATTCTGCCACCTAGAGACAAATATCCTTTCTTCCAACTAGCCAACTTCCTAGAGAATTTTTCTAGCACTGGATTCCAAAAACCCACTTCTTTTGGATTTGCTCCAAGAGGTAACCCCAAATAGGTCAGGGTCTAGGACATGACACTGGAGCCTAGAATGCTTGCACACTCTACCATTTCCCCATCATGCATGTTTATTCCAGCTAGGCAGCTTTTTCAAAATTTATCCATAAGTTTGACAATTTTTCAAACAGCTGCACTGAGAGTTTCAAATTCCTTATCCAACCCAAGTTCTCTCCTTCGCAAAAGAGAATAGTATCATCTGCAAATTGCAGATGGGTAATTGGTATCTCTTCTCTTCCCACTCTCCAGCCTCACTAGCCCTCTCAAGTATGCCTTCAATAGGATTCTGCTCAGAACATCCACTATCATTGTGAAGAGGAAAGGGGAGAGAGGATCTCCTTGTCTTAGTCCTCATTCAGCTAGAAAGCAATCTACAGCTGTGCCATTTACTAATACTAAATATTGGCAAGTTCTTTAGCACCCTCAAATCCAATTGCACCATCTCTCTCCAAATTCATGATGTCTTATGATCTCAATCAGGAAAGTCTAATCAACTAAATCATAATCTTTCTCTAAGTCCAGCTTGCAAAGTATGGCTTTCTTCCCGGATCTCCTCATATCCTCAACACACTCATTAGCAATTAGAATTTGATCCGTGATTTGCCTCTTTTGAACAAAGGCCCCTTGGTTGGAAGTCACCAAAGAGGGGAGAACTTCCTGAATCCTTAAAGATAAGACTTTTGTTAGGATTTTATACAAACTATTCACCAGGCTGATGGGTCTAAAATCTTTGGGATGGTTAGCTCCCACTTTTTTAGGGGTCAAGGCAATGAAAGTTGATTTCAACCTTGGATTTATTATGCCCCTTTCAAAGAATTCCCTAAAAACCTCTAGTAAATCTTCTTTGAGAACATCCGAAAATCTTGATAGAATGCCATAGTAAACCCATCTGGCCTTGGAGCTTTAGCTTTGTCCATGGAAAACATTGCTATCCTAATCTCCTCCTCCTCAAAAGATCTTTCCAACCACACTTTCTTCTCAACTGATACGATTGACCAGTCCAAACCCTCAATCCACAAAGTTGCATCTAAAGGCCTCTTGTAAATTGATTTGAAATGATCCACAAAAGCCTGTGTTATCTCACGCTGATATGTAATAACTTCATCTCCCATCTCCGGTTTGGAAATGAAGTTTTTCCTTCTCTTAGCATTGGCCATTGCATGGAAGAACTTTGTATTTCTATCACCCTCTTGATGCCATTTTACCCTTGATTATTTATTGTGTGAATTTTGTTTTGGAGGGTATTGGCCTTTGGGTGTGGATTGCTGAAATAGCATACCAGCTCTACTTCTTGAGCTATGGCAGGCTTTGGAAGTGAAAGTAAAACAAGTGTGATGGTGCAACCAAATTTTATGACTGTCCAAATGACTTTGGTCAAACTCAATGGTACAAAGTACATACCATGGGCAAAATCAATTGAAGTAAATTTGACAACTAGGTGTAAACTGAAATATATTAAACAAAATAAGCCAGATTCTGGGGCTGCAGGGTATAATGATTGGATACAAGAGAATGCACAGATTATGACATGTCTCTGGAGCAAGGTTCTAAATATCGACACGGGTCGATACGCCGGTAGGGCGTATCAGCCTATGTCGGTGCCTTTTTTTTATGTTTCACTTATTTTTTTTTTTGAAATTAGTTCAGAGGGGCCGGTTTAAGGCCCGACTACCCTCTAAACTAGTGGCTGACCCGATACAACCCCTATAGGGGCGTATTGGGAAGCCATCGACACAATATGTATCGGCCGATACGGGCCGATACATGTCGATACTTTGAACCTTGCTTTGGAATTGTATGAAACCTCATATTAGTATGAACTTAATGTTCATTGACAATACTAAAGGAATTTGGGAACATGCCACGCAACTCTATTCTGGACAGGATAATATGACTAGAATTTATCAATTATACCAAGAATATTTTCAATTACAAGGTGATAGGAATGTGGAGGAATATTATGCTGGTTTAGAGTTTACACAATGAGCTGGATTCATATTAGCCTCTTTCAAATAATCTGAAGGTGCAACAACAATAAAGAGATCAACTGGATGTGGCTAGATTTCTCTTTGGCTTGAGGTCTGAATTTTAACCAATGCATGCCCAAATTTTAGGCAGTAGTGATATAGCCACGTTATCGGAAGTTTTCTCTAGAGTCAGAATTGTAATTAGCCCACATATAGATAATTCCCCAGTACTTGAGAAGTCTACCCTAGCCGTAACTAGAGGTGGTAATCCTAGAGGTGGTGATCATGGAGTGAGAGGAGGTCGCGTTGGTGGTAGAGATGGGAGCATTAGAGGTCATGGTGTTGGTGTTGGTGGTCGTGGCATAGTTAGAGAGTGTAGTTATTGTGGATGGGAAGGACATATGGTGAATTTCTATTATGATTTGCATGGCCCCCCATTTACTTGAGCTAACCATGTTGCAATAGGAGAGGATGGTGGTACTACAGGTGATGACTCACTGTTTTAGGTACTGCGATGGAGAAGGAAAGGGTTTCTATTACCTGAGAAAAGTATGAAAAGCTTCATCTATCTTCTTCTTCCCTTGGCACTGCAACTCTTGCAAAGTCAAGTACAACATGCCTTGTTTCCTCTTCTAAGCCATGGATTATTGACTCTAGGGCCTCAGATCACATGATTGTGTCTTCAAACTTGTATGTATCTTTATCTCCTCCCTTTACCTCTCAGTTTGTTACACTAGCTGATGGTACTGCATCTATTGTTTTTGGTACCGGTAATGTGGCTCTACATTTTAATTTGATTTTTCCTTCTGTGTTATATGTTTCTGAATTTCTTTTTAGTCTTATGTTTGTTAGTAAGTTGACAAAATCTTTGAATTGCTCCATTTCATTCTTCCCTTCTTATTGTGTTTTTTCAGGATTTTGAGACGATGAAGAAGATTGGTGGTAGACATGAAGATGGAGGATTATATATCTAGATGGTGGTGGTTCTTTTGCTCCAAGGGAATTTAATAGAGTCGGTTTTTTTTTTTTTTTTTTTTTAACTTGTTCATTTAGATGTCTGGGGTCCTTGTCCAGTTGAGTCTTATAATGGTTTTAAGTATTTTGTCTCCTTTGTAGATGATTTCTCAAGGATGACTTGGATTTATTTAATGAAATCTCATACAAGAGTGTTTGATATCTTTCTCTCTTTTTATGTTGAAGAATCAATTTGGTGTTTCCATTAAATATTTTCGTTCTGGTAATGCAAAAGAATATATACAATGCCTGTTTTATACATTCTTTGAATCTCATGGCATTATACACCAATCTTCTTGCTCCTTTACTCTACAACAAAATGGAGCGGCCGAATGGAAGAATAGGCATTTGCTTGATATTTGCTTGGGAACTTTTAATTCAAATATCAGTCCCTAAGAAATATTGGAGTGATGCTATTTCTTACTTCTTGCTTCCTCATTAACCGTATGCCTTCATTAGTTTAATGTGGTGGCACTCCTTTCTCTCTTGTCTTTCCTTCTCAATTCTCCTTTTCCTTTGCCTCTATATGTCTTTGGTTTCCTTCTCTTTGTCGTTCCTTTGTTCTTCTAGATTCGCCCTGTTTTGAGAATGCTCTTTTTTTTTTCTTTAGCCGAGTTATGTTCTACTGGTAGTTTATCCCCTCCTCCCCTTCCTCTTCTTGTAGAGGAGGTGCTTGTACTAGCTTCTATTGTTGAGGAGCCCATTTGACCACCAGTTCATAGAGTGTACACTCATGACCCTCGTGGAATAATATATTACTCTACTCCAGCTTCGCCTTAGCCATTATTGACTCCACCGTCAACGGATCCTTTAGACCTTGACTTTCCCGTTGCTCTTCGCAAATGTAAACGTGCTTGGATTGGCCCATTTCTCGTTATGTTTTCTTTGCACATTTATCTCCATCATATCAGAATTTTGTTTCTCTTTTTTTGTCTGTGTCTGTTCCCAGGTTCATGATGCTCTCCTCTCTCCAGAATGGAAGAAGGCAATGGATGATGAATTTCATGCTCTTCGGTCTAATCACACTCGGGACCTTACTCCTCTTCCTCATGGAAAGAAAGCAGTTGGTTGTTAGTGGGTTTATACAATTGAACATCGAACAGATGGTAGTGTGGAGAGGTATAAAGCACGCTTGGTGGCAAAAGGGTATACACAAACTAATGAAGTTGATTATACTAGTAGAAAACCTTATGTGCTGATTTCGGCCAAGCTTCTTGTGTAAGGAAGAGTAGAAAGTTGGGGATTTCAGCAAGAGACAAAGGAAAGGGAAGAAAAGAGAAGAAGGTCGACTAGGATAGATT